GGGTGTGTTGGTTGGATGTTGGTGTGCGGGTTGGTTGTGGATGTGAGTGCTGAATGTGGGTGTGAGTGCTGGATCTGGATGTGAGTGAGTGAGTGAGTATGGTTTTTACGCCGCTTTTAGCAATATTCCAGCAATATCACGGCGGGGGACACCAGAAATGGGCTTCACACATTGTACCCATGTCGGGAATCGAACCCAGGTCTTCGGCGTGACGAGCGAACGCTTTAACCACTAGGCTACCCGACCGCCCCGGATCTGGATGTGACTGCTGGATGTGGGTGTGAGTGCTGGATGTGGGTGTGAGTGATGGATGTGGGTGTTAGTGTTGGGTGTGGATGTGAGGAGTGGACGTGGAAGTGAGTGTTGGATGTGGGTGTTCGGGTTGCATGTGGATGTAAGTGGTTGGTGAGGGTTGGATGTGGTTGTGGGGTTGGATATGGATGTGAGGGTTGGATGTGGATGTGAGGGCTGGATGTGGATGTGAGTGCTGAATGTGGGTTTGAGGGTTGGATGTGGTTGTGGGGTTGGATGTGAGGGTTGGATGTGGATGTGAGGGTTGGATGTGGATGTGAGGGTTGGATGTGGGTGTGACGGTTGGATGTGGATGTGATGGTTGGATGTTGGTGTACGGGTTGGTTGTGGATGTGAGCGCTGAATGTGGGTGTGGGATTCGATGTGGGTGTGAGGGGATGATGTGGAAGTGATGGCTGGGTGTGGGTGTGAGTGCTGGATGTGGATGTGACTGTTGGATGTGGGTGAGAGTGCTGGATGTGGGTGTGAGTGCTGGATGTGGGTGTGAGTGCTGGATGTGGGTGTGGGGTTGGATGTGAGGAGTGGACGTGGATGTGAGTGTTGGATGTGGTTGTTCGGGTTGCATGTGGATGTAAGTGGTGGGTGAGGGTTGGATGTGGTTGTGAGGGTTGGATGTGGATGTTATGGTTGGATGTGGGTGTGAGGGTTGGATGTGGATGTGAGTGCTGAATGTGGGTTTGAGGGTTGGATGTGGTTGTGGGGTTGGATGTGAGGGTTGGATGTGGATGTGAGGGTTGGATGTGGGTGTGATGGTTGGGTGTGGGTGTTCGGGTTGGATGTGGATGTGAGTGATGAATGTGGGTTTGAGGGTTGGATGTAGGTGTGATGGTTGGATGTGGGTGTGCGGGTTGGATGTGGATGTGAGTGCTGAATGTGGGTTTGAGGGTTGGATGTGGGTGTGAGGGTTGGTGGTGGGTATCATGGCTGGATGTGGGTGTGGGGATGGATGTGGGTGTGAGGGTTGGATATTGATGTGAGGGTTGGATGTGGGTGTGTTGGTTGAATGTTGGTCTGAGAGTTTGATGTGGTTGTCTGTTAACCTACATCTTATACCCACAGCCACCAATAGGCATACGTATCTGTATGAGGATCTGTATCAGTGATCAGTGTCTTTTCATTTAGCACTATCATTTCAGTATCACCAATATCTCAGCGACAGAGTGACATGATTCATCAACATAAAAGACTTGTGAAACAAAAGACTAAATATCACCGCTTAAATATAGGACATGCTAGAGAGATAAAGATAAACGACAGCTCGATTATATGTGTACAGACGCTATACAGCTGGAAGAGTGCTAAGCCTGGCGCGCCCCATCAGACACACACACACACACGCTCTCACACGCACGCACGCACGCACGCACGCACGCACACACACACAGACACACACACACAGAGAAACATAAACACACTCACACACACACACACACATATAAGCACTCACAGGCTTCAGCAACACGTCGTAAAAGGCGACTATGCTTGTCGTAAGAGGCGATTTACGGGATCGGGTGCTCAGGCTCGCTGTATTGGTTGATGCATATCATTGTATTCCAATTACGTGGATCGGTGCTCATGATGCCAATCACTAGACTGTCTGGTCCAGACTCGATAATTTACAGACCGTTGTCACATAGCTGGAATATTGCTGAGTGCGGTGTTAAACAACAAACAAACACACAAACACAGTTCACTCATTGAAAACATTTTCGGTCTGGCATATAAGCAATTGGTGAGTGCGTGCTCTGTGTGAACTCGAACTGCTGTTAATCTTAAAATCTCACGAAATTATTATGTCACCCAAACGTCCAAAGAGAGTCACGAAAGTGCTTTGTTTTCCCACCTCCAATTATCCTCCTGCTCATGGTGACTTTTCCATCACTCACTCACTCACTCAACTGCAAATGCACGTGCGGGTGAGGGTATAAAACGATTGCAACGGCAAGTAAGACATCCACAGTGATAAAAAAACTCAAAAGAAATGCCACGAATCACAGTCGAACAACGTGAACTAGCCTCGGGTATGGTACAGATGGGAGCCACTCACGCCCATATTGCACGACGAACCTTCGGTTGCTCCCGTGTTGCCGTTACTAACTTGATGCAACGTTACAGACAGACAGGGCGGACCGCTGACAGGCCAAGAGCAGGCAGACCGAAATCGCTTCCTGACAGTCGACAGACAGTGGCCAGGAGACTCAGGGCTCATGGAATCAGGGCTTTTAGACCATACAGAGGACAGCTATTGACAGCGCAACATCGTCGTCTGCGATTGAGATGGGCCCGGACTGTACGACGTTGGCAACGACGTGACTGGCAGAGGGTTGTCTTCACTGACGAAAGTCGATTCTGTATATTTATGGCTGATGGAAGACAACGTGTTTACCGCCGAAGGGGTGAACTAAAGGCGGCGTGTTGCGTTCAGGAGGTCATATAGTCATGTGGAGAGTGTTTTGTCACTCTGAATCTGTATTTAGATATCTAAATATGATACAGATGAGGCGGTATCACTGGTCTCCTTTATTTCTAATTCTGGTGGGTAAATCAGTGGAAGTGAATTGGCTTTTTGATATCAGATCATCGATGTAGCTGAAGGTCAAGTTAAATTTCTTGACCAAATTCTTTACCAATCCAAGGAGAAACTCCGATTTATATGCATAATGAAACAGTAAGCCATGGGGATGTTTCTACTTGCCTAAATGTCTTTTACCCACATTTTACACAGATTTTATCAACGAGGAAGTCTAGTATTTCTCAGCCGACTCCAGATGGCATTTGCTCAAGTTTGTCATGCGGGATGGTGGTGTACAAAGTTGAAAACTGAACTGTTTTGACAACTGAACTTGGCTCTTTTCTGAGATTGTAAAGAGACCATATATTTGTTTTCAGCTACAGCTTTTGTCACATATATTTTTAAATTAAACTGGGGCGGTCGGGTAGCCTAGTGGTTAAAGCGTTCGCTCGTCACGCCGAAGACCTGGGTTCGATTCCCGACATGGGCACAATGGGTGAAGCCCATTACTGGTGTCCCCCGCCGTGATATTGCTGGAATATTGCTAAAAGCGGCGTAAAACCATACTCACTCACTTTAATTAAACTTAGAGCCAAACGATTTTTTTCCTAAAAGAAACATTTCAACAATGTAATTTTTCTGGCAGACAATTTCTTTTTTTCCCCAATAATATTGAGCATAGTATTTCAAGAATGTTTGTGGATAATATATTTTCTTCGATGAAATCGATAATATTCATTTCTTCATTGTGTATGATCTGTTCATTGTAGAGAAAATGTGTGTTTAATTGTCAAAGTAATACTATATAATTATGTGTTGACGTGTTTCATGACATCCAAATGAATAACTTAAATTTCATTAAAAAAAACGTCACATATTGACTGAAATGTCTTATCCAGCAGTTTCGGCGTTGTGCCGCTTATGTCAGTAGGGTATCAACTCAAATGAAGTTTCACAGCGTAGAGTAGGTCGATGGATTTCTGCGCTTGTCAAAAGGAATTGACGCCAGTTATATACTGCAGGGTATACACTTGAAATTTGATTTCAGCAAAATAATTACAAACGTTATCAAAACATTACCAGGATAAAACGCTCGCTGACGTGGTTGATACATGTCATCGATTCCAATTGCGTGGATCGATGCTCATGATATAAATCACAGGATTGTCTGGTCCAGACTCGATTATTTACAGACACTCACAGGCTTCAGAGAATATTGCTGAGTGCGGCGTTAGACAACAAACCAACCAACCAACCAGGATGAAACAGTCGACGAAACACTGCGAACGTAAGGTCCAAAACAACAAAGATTACTGTATCAAATACATCAGCATCGAATAACCAATATTCCAGCTATATGACGGCGGTCTGTAAATAATCGAGCCTGGACCAGACAATCCAGTGATTTATACATGGGCATCGGTCCAGGCAATTGGGATACGATGACATGCATCAACCAAGTCAACGTGCCTGACCACCCGATCCCGTAGGTCGCCTCTTACAACAAGTATAGTCGCCTCTTACGACAACCATAGTCCAATTTTAAGGCAAGCATGGGTTGCTGAAGACCTATTCTACCCCGGATCTTCACGTGGCTTATTTATTATGAGTAAATATTTCTAACAGACATATTCATTGCGACAAGACACGGCGGGGATTCTGTGTTTAATTTTGTCCAAAGCAACATATGCTTTTCGTAAGAGGCGACCAACTGAATCGGAAGGTTGGGCTCATTGACTTGGTTGAATGCGTGTCAATGTGCCCTGTTGGCGTGGATAGTTGCTCACAATATCACTCACTGGATTGTCTTGTCTATGTTCGATTGAAAACAACAAAGTATAATAAGGTTACCGAGGAATGTAATCCAGAAGATGATGATGAATCCATTTGGCAATAGTAACCTAAGCTTTTAAATTTCGTTCCCTGCCTTGATTTGAATATTGTGGGTTCGAGCCCCGGATTCAACCAACCCGAGATCCTATCTATGTAGCAAGGTATTAATCTTTCAGCTTGCTTTGTCTGTTTAACACCGATTCACTCTCTGTTTTGAGGATTGTTCTTTAACGTCACACTCAGTCCGAGTCCCCGAACCATTTCTAAATCTATACCTATACCATCTCGGAATCCCAACCGGCAGTGACAGGATCAGGGACAGGTAATCATCACACATTTAACCTTTGCAGTCATAACGTTTAATTGTAGACTTTGGGTCAGTCAATTTACAGCAGGACGCCACCAAAGTATGATCCGTCATTTTCATTTAGTTTGTGTTTTTCCGTTATCTCTACCAACACCTCGTCGCCAGTCGTCAAATTTTTGACAACCTGAGCATCGGCAGTGGCGTCGTCAATATTTGAGTCTGTTAACACCCAGCCAGCGGCCAGGATAAGCCCCTTCGACATGATCCAAACCTTCATTTGAGAGTTTGCATCATACATTTCTATCTGAGTCCAGAACAAGTAGGTCCCTGAAACTGGTACTGTGAACTTCCCTGAGGTGGAATTATAGCCTGAACCAGAGTTGTAGTGGGTGGTGCCGAATGTCAGAGGAGTGTAGGTTGTTTGATCAGGGACAGGCCTGCTTACTTGGAATGCCACATCTCTGGTTTTGGATGCTGCATTAAAAATTAAGTGAATGATAAAGACAGTCAAATATGATGTAAATATCCTAACAAGAGTGTCACAAAAACTGTTTTCATGACACTCCGTCCACACACATCGTCACCACCACCAGCACCCTAGCCCGACCCTGATGTAGAATATTCTCCTGCATCCTAATTTCATTTCCTATTCCATGATTGTAATGTTATCAGTTATGATACTGAAAATTACAATACAAATGGTTTACAATTGATGGATAACACAGTAATTGATATTGTGAACATTAATCAACACCGTCGGGTTGACACGCAATCAACTAAAGCCCTGACTCTGACCAGCCAATCCATTGGGTTGCCTCTTAGGTTCAATACAATTTGCTGGGGACCTATTCAGGTCTGAATGACTTTGGAACAGGTAATCACACACACCTTTGCAGTCATAATGCTTTAATGTAGACTTGTGCTTAGTGAACTGACAGCAGGACGCCACCAAAGTATGATGCGGCATTTTCAACTAGTGTGTGTTTCACCGTTATCTCCACCCACACCTCCTCGCCCCTTTTCAGGCGTCTGACAGCCTTAGCAGAAGCAGCAGCGTCATCGATAGTCGAGTCTGTTAACACCCAACCGGTGGCCAGAATATCTTCTTTCCCTGCCGTCATAATCCAAACATTCATGTAAGCGTCTGACTCATTGATTTCTATCTGAGTCCAGAACATGTAGGTCCCTGACACTGGTACTGTGAACACTCCTGAGGTGAAGTTATAGCCTGAACCAGAGTTGTAGAGGATGGTGCCGAATGTCAGAGGAGTGTAGGTTGTTTGGTCAGGGGCAGGTTTGCTGACGTGGAATGCCACATCTCTGAGTTTGGATGCTGCATTAAAAGTTAAGTGAATGATAGAGTCTGATAACAATTCTATACTATCAAATCTAATGTAAATAGCATGACACCCCCTCCACACAAACCACCTCCACCACCACCACCACCAGCATTCTATCCTTTGACTCTTGTTATAACAACATTACTTATGATGCAAATTATATTACCAAATCTTTTAGTATGCTAACATTGATTATGATGTCTATCATGTATGTACTTAATAACAATAAGATTCAAGAAATGCCGAATTTCCATAAGTGAAACGTGTTGATTGTCTGAGTATATATATGAAACACATTTCAGCATTTCAGGGCCCTAATGTCAAAATATTCTTTATGGATTATATTCTTTTCATGTCATATGAGGCACAATCATTTGCTCAGTTAAGTCTTGAAAAGAAGTAGTAGTTAATCGATTGTTGGTTATAGGTTAATGTTCTCGTGCTCGTAAGGAAACTTGGCCTCACTTGTGTCTTAAAATATTAAATGATTAAGCTTTCTTTTATGTAATTAAGTGTAAACGATAACTCACCAACATTTTTGGACAACTTTGAAACCTGGTCTTTAGCCGAGTGCAAATCACTTTTAGTTGACTGTAGATCTTTCTGCAACTGCCTGGTGGTCGACTGAAGACTTGCCACACTCTGTTTCAGAGAGGCGACGTCATTTAGCAAACTTGACGTATCTGTACTTGGCATAATAAGTCCAGAAAGCGACCATGGTTGCAAAAGACACACAAATAAAGCTCCCAAAGACATGGTACCTCGACGTGGATATAATAATCTAGGTGTCGTCCTGCTCTTTTGCTCTCTGGGCATATATGTACCTTCAGGATTGTTTGTTGTATGGGGTGCGCCTATTGTAAGGTTATCAATGTCAAAGTGTTGACCTGGTGACACTCCTGTCTGATTATGCTGTACTTCAACTTCACTAAAAAGATTTAAAAAATGCACGCGTGCGACCAAGACTGATGTCACATGATAACACAGTTCGTGTTTTCTGAAAGAAAGTGAATTGTGAGTCTTAAGAATCAAGTATCAGTCCTTTTAGTATTTCTTCACTGGTTCGAAGAAACTGGAACTAACGTTTTAATGTGCGTGTGAGGATTGGATGTGGTTCTGTGAATTGGTTGTTGATGTGAGGGTTGGATGTGGATGTGAGTGCTGGGTGTGGGTTTGAGGGTTGGATGTGGGTGTGAGGGTTTAGATGTGGGTGTGAGGGTTGGATGTGAATGTGAGTGCTGGATGTGGGTGTGAGGTTTGAATGTTGGTGTGAGGGTCGGATATGGATGTGAGCGCCGGGTGTGGGTGTTATGGTTGGATGTGGGTGTGAGGGTTGGATGTGAATGTGTGGGCTGTGTATGTGCGTGAGTGCTGGATGTGGGTGTGAGGGTTGGATGTGGGTTTGAGGGTTGGATGTGGATGTGTTGGTTGGATGTGGGTGTGATGGTTGGATGTGGGTGTGCGGGTTGGATGTAGATGTGAGGGTTGAATGTGGATGTGTGGGCTGTGTATGTGCGTGAGTGCTGGATGTGGGTGTGAGGGTTGGATGTGGGTTTGAGGGTTGGATGTGGATGTGTGGGTTGGATGTGGGTGTGATGGTTGGATTTGGGTGTGCGGGTTAGATGTGGATGTGTGGGTTGGATGTGGATGTGAGGTTTGGATGTGGATGTTAGGGTTGGATGTTGATGTGAGGGTTGGATGTGGGTGTGTTGGTTGGATGTTGGTGTGCGGGTTGGTTGTGGATGTGAGTGCTGAATGTGGATGTGGGATTCGATGTGGGTGTGAGGTGTGGATGTGGAAGTGATGGCTGGATGTGGGTGTGAGTGCTGGATGTGATTGTGACTGCTGGATGTGGGTGTGAGTGCTGGATGTGGGTGTGAGTGCTGGATGTTGGTGTTAGTGTTGGGTGTGGATGTGAGGAGTGGACGTGGAAGTGAGTGTTGGATGTGGGTGTTCGGGATGCATGTGGATGTAAGTGGTTGGTGAGGGTTGGATGTGGTTGTGGGGTTGGATATGGATGTGAGGGTTGGATGTGGATGTGAGGGTTGGATGTGGATGTGAGTGCTGAATCTTGGTTTGAGGGTTGGATCTGGTTGTGGGGTTGGATGTGAGGGTTTGATGTGGATGTGAGGAGTGGATGTGGATGTGATGGTTGAATGTGGATGTGTGGGTTGGATGTGGATGTGAGGTTGTGAGGGTTGGATTTTGGTGTTGGTTGGATGTTGGTGTGCGGGTTGGTTGTGGATGTGAGTGCTGAATGTGGATGTGGGATTCGATGTGGGTGTGAGGTGTGGATGTGGAAGTGATGGCTGGATGTGGGTGTGAGTGCTGGATGTGGATGTGACTGCTGGATGTGGGTGTGAGTGCTGGATGTGGGTGTGAGTGCTTGATGTTGGTGTTAGTGTTGGGTGTGGATGTGAGGAGTGGACGTGGATGTGAGTGTTGGATGTGGGTGTTCGGGTTGCATGTGGATGTAAGTGGTTGGTGAGGGTTGGATGTGGATGTGAGGGTTGGATATGGATGTGAGGGTTAGATGTGGGTGTGTTGGTTGGAGGTTGGTGTGCGGGTTGGTTGTGGATGTGAGTGCTGAATGTGGATGTGGGATTCGATGTGGGTGTGAGGTGTGGATGTGGAAGTGATGGCTGGATGTGGGTGTGAGTGCTGGATGTGGGCGTGAGTGCTGGATGAGGGTGTGAGTGTTGGATGTCGGTGTTCGGGTTGCATGTGGATGTAAGTGGTTGGTGAGGGTTGGATGTGGATGTGAGGGTTGGATATGGATGTGAGGGTTGGATGTGGATGTGAGGGTTGGATGTGGATGTGAGTGCTGAATGTGGGTTTGAGGGTTGGATATGGTTGTGGGGTTGGATGTGAGGGTTGGATGTGGATGTGAGTGCTGAATGTGGGTTTGAGGGTTGGATGTGGTTGTGGGGTTTGATATGGATGTGAGGGTTGGATGTGGATGTGAGTGCTGAATGTGGGTTTGAGGGTTGGATGTGGTTGTGGGGTTGGATGTGAGGGTTGGATGTGGATGTGAGGAGTGGATGTGGTTGAGATGGTTGGATGTGGATGTTTGGGTTGGATGTGGATGTGAGGTTTGGATGTGGATGTGAGGGTTGGATGTGGATGTGATGGTTGGATGTGGGTGTGTTGGTTGGATGTTGGTGTGCGGGTTGGTTGTGGATGCGAGTGCTGAATGTGGATGTGGGATTCGATATGGGTGTGAGGTGTGGATGTGGAAGTGATGGCTGGATGTGGGTGTGAGTGCTGGATGTGGATGTGACTGTTGGATGTGGGTGTGAGTGCTGGATGTGGGTGTGAGCGCTGGATGTGGGTGTTAGTGTTGGGTGTGGATGTGAGGAGTGGACGTGGATGTGAGTGTTGGATGTGGGTGTTCGGGTTGCATGTGGATGTAAGTGGTTGGTGAGGGTTGGATGTGGATGTGAGGGTTGGATATGGATGTGAGGGTTGGATGTGGATGTGAGGGTTGGATGTGGATGTGAGTGCTGAATGTGGGTTTGAGGGTTGGATGTGGTTGTGGGGTTGGATGTGATGGTTGGATGTCGTTGTGGGGTTTGATATGGATGTGAGGGTTGGATGTGGATGTGATGGTTGGATGTGGATGTGAGTGCTGAATGTGGGTTTGAAGGTTGGATGTGGTTGTGGGGTTGGATGTGAGGGTTGGATGTGAGGAGTGGATGTGGTTGAGATGGTTGGATGTGGCTGTGTGGGTTGGATGTGGGTGTGATGGTTGGATGTGGGTGTGCGGGTTGGATGTAGATCTGAGGGTTGGATGTGGATGTGTGGGCTGTGTATGTGCGTGAGTGCTAGATGTGGGTGTGAGGGTTGGATGTGGGTTTGAGGGTTGGATGTGGATGTGTTGGTTGGATGTGGGTGTGATGGTTGGATGTGGGTGTGCGGGTTGGATGTAGATGTGAGGGTTGGATGTGGATGTGTGGGCTGTGTATGTGCGTGAGTGCTAGATGTGGACGTGAGGGTTGGATGTGGGTTTGAGGGTTGGATGTGGATGTGTGGGTTGGATGTGGGTGTGATGGTTGGATTTGGGTGTGCGGGTTAGATGTGGATTTGAGGGTTTAATGTGGAACTGATGGTTGGATGTGGGTGTGAGGGTTGGATGTGGATGTGTGGGCTGGATGTTGATGTAAGGGTTGGATGTGGATGTGAGGGTTGGATGTGGGTGTTATTGTTGGATGTGGATGTGTGGGTTGGATGTGGATGTGAGGTTTGGATGTGGATGTTAGGGTTGGATGTGGATGTGAGGGTTGGATGTGGGTGTGTTGGTTGGATGTTGGTGTGCGGGTTGGTTGTGGATGTGAGTGCTGAATGCGGATGTGGGATTCGATGTGGGTGTGAGGTGTGGATGTGGAAGTGATGGCTGGATGTGGGTGTGAGTGCTGGATGTGGATGTGACTGCTGGATGTGGGTGTGAGTTCTGGATGTGGGTGTGAGTGCTGGATGTTGGTGTTAGTGTTGGGTGTGGATGTGAGGAGTGGACGTGGATGTGAGTGTTGGATGTGGGTGTTCGGGATGCATGTGGATGTAAGTGGTTGGTGAGGGTTGGATGTGGTTGTGGGGTTGGATATGTATGTGGGGGTTGGATGTGGATGTGAGGGCTGAATGTGGGTTTGAGGGTTGGATGTGGTTGTGAGGTCGGATGTGAGGGTTGGATGTGGTTGTGGGGTTGGATATGGATGTGAGGGTTGGATGTGGATGTGAGGGCTGGATGTGGATGTGAGTGCTGAATCTGGGTTTTAGGGTTGGATGTGGTTGTGGGGTTGGATGTGAGGGTTTGATGTGGATGTGAGGAGTGGATGTGGATGTGATGGTTGAATGTGGATGTGTGGGTTGGATGTGGATGTTAGGTTGTGAGGGTTGGATTTTTGTGTGTTGGTTGGATGTTGGTGTGCGGGTTGGTTGTGGATGTGAGTGCTGAATGTGGATGTGGGATTCGATGTGGGTGTGAGGTGTGGATGTGGAAGTGATGGCTGGATGTGGGTGTGAGTGCTGGATGTTTATGTGACTGCTGGATGTGGGTGTGAGTGCTTGATGTTGGTGTTAGTGTTGGGTGTGGATGTGAGGAGTGGACGTGGATGTGAGTGTTGGATGTGGATGTGTGGGCTGTGTATGTGCGTGAGTGCTAGATGTGGGTGTGTGGGTTGGATGTGGGTTTGAGGGTTGGATGTGGATGTGTGGGTTGGATGTGGATGTGATGGTTGGATTTGGGTGTGCGGGTTAGATGTGGATTTGAGGGTTTAATGTGGAACTGATGGTTGGATGTGGGTGTGAGGGTTGGATGTGGATGTGTGGGCTGGATGTTGATGTAAGGGTTGGATGTGGATGTGAGGGTTGGATGTGGGTGTTATTGTTGGATGTGGATGTGTGGGTTGGATGTGGATGTGAGGTTTGGATGTGGATGTTAGGGTTGGATGTGGATGTGAGGGTTGGATGTGGGTGTGTTGGTTGGATGTTGGTGTGCGGGTTGGTTGTGGATGTGAGTGCTGAATGTGGATGTGGGATTCGATGTGGGTGTGAGGTGTGGATGTGGAAGTGATGGCTGGATGTGGGTGTGAGTGCTGGATGTGGATGTGACTGCTGGATGTGGGTGTGAGTTCTGGATGTGGGTGTGAGTGCTGGATGTTGGTGTTAGTGTTGGGTGTGGATGTGAGGAGTGGACGTGGATGTGACTGTTGGATGTGGGTGTTCGGGTTGCATGTGGATGTAAGTGGTTGGTGAGGGTTGGATGTGGATGTGAGGGTTGGATATGGATGTGAGGGTTAGATGTGGGTGTGTTGGTTGGAGGTTGGTGTGCGGGTTGGTTGTGGATGTGAGTGCTGAATGTGGATGTGGGATTCG